ACGAACAACGATTCACCTCAGGACAAAGGGATACGCTCCTCCGTCCAAATGCTGCGAAGTAAGCTGGTAATTGGGTTGAGAAAAGGATCACCGCCAACCTTGAAAAGAATATGGAGAAACCCATCAGGTTAGTGTAGCAGACTACAGGTCATATATATACCGGCGGCTTGTAAACAAGCATGGTGCCAACGCAGCAACAATAATAACAATAACAATAAAAGGGGACAGATGGATTGGGGTACAGAACAGAGTAAAAAGGGGAAAATGGAAAATAACTGGGATAACAAAAGTTTTTTTGTGTTTCACCGTACACTTGACATTTTTGTGTTGTTTTTTGTTTTTTACGGGGCACGGGATTTCGACAGGCATTCGCACCACCGACTTCTATTCTGGGTCATATCTCTCTCAGCGTCCCTAACCAACGACAATCCTCATCCCTTGGGCCCCAACCTGGAAGGCGGGCTGCACCAATCAAAGCCAGAGCTGAAGCCAGTTTCTTCGTGCCTCTAGCCTATGTCATTATCTGACCGCCTCGCCGCTTCTTCCGGCCTTGCCCGGCACGTGCGAAGGGAAAGTAGTCGATGGGCAGGCATACGTAATACGTGACCAAGCGATTACTTCTGTTGGGGAACGACTACCCGCACCCAACACGAAGACGAACCTCGTCATTACTCACCCGGTTTTCTCACCAGACACGAGCAATGCTTCGGAGACATCGGTGGTCAAATACAGAATGTCGATTGGCGTCCTCCGCTTGCAGAGGCCAGGTCTCGCAACCGTAAAGGAGCACGCTACGAACCGCAGCGATGTACACCTTTTCCCCTAAGGAACAGTCGGATGTCATGGCGGCGCCACAGGTGTCGCAGGTTGACGAAAGCTGCTCTAGCTTTCACTATTCGTGATGTGATCTCTTCCCCAACACCCCACCAGCTGCGTTCAAGCTCCCGAGGTACTTAAAGCTCTCAACTACTTCCAGCTGATCACCACAGATGACGAGTGCGGGCACAGGCTCCTTCCAGTCTTGAACAAGCACTTTGCACTTTGATGGTGCAAAGCACATACCATACCTGGATATCTTTATCGCCAAGCGGTTCAAAGCGTTTTGGACTGCCTGTGTGTTGTTACCAAGCAAGGCGATCTCATCGGCATATTCCAAGTCAAGAACTTTGTTCCCTGGAAGGAGTTTGACCCCATCGTTTACTAGACCGGACAAAGCATTCTGTAGAACATCCTCTATGGCGAAGTTGAAAAGAAATGGGTAGATAGGGCAGCCTTGCCGAACTCCACTGGAGACGGTGACGGGTGGCGAAAGTTGGCCATAGGCCTTAACTCGACCTGAGGTAAGACGATACAACTCTTTGAGGATCGACACACTTCTCAGGTGCTCCATGTAAGGCGACGTCGTTTCTTGTGTGAGAAGTTGGTGCTTGACAGAAACAGTCCGTGATCAACGCAAAGTTGTAGTAGCCATTCTCCGTTGTCAGTCCGGTTAGCTGTGAACGATGGTTAGAGACACTGATTGATATGGCGGAGTGTCGTAAACAGTGTCTTTCGTGCCTCTTCTCAATTTCTTCGCAACCTTAGTCCACTGAAATTCTTCATTTCCCCTTCGACTCTGCTTTCTCCTTTCCTGTCTTTCTCCTATTGTCCATCCAAATGGGTAGACAAAAGGCAGAAACCAAAACTGGCGCACGAATGTGCATGTTTAATGGTTGTTCAAACTGAAACTGAAACCTAAATATTCCGGTTTTCACTGCCTTCTCCGTCATCATCAAAAACGTTATTCACTTGAATTCATATTAACCCGCAGCTAGCATTGACAACATGAATGAAATAAATCCACCAAAGTGTCTTCTCAGCTGAGTTGTTTACTAAAAGCAATTATTTGTCGTAACCTAAGTAGTTTGTCCAAGTACATTCTCTTCGTTGGATTCACGGCATTGTTACTTTCCCCTCGATTCGTTTGCACACCTTAACATGTGTTTTGTACGGAAATTTCTTATCATTGCGTGTACTTTGCACTAGTTCGTCGTATGCTAACTGGTCTTTGATCTCTAAGACCCAAGTGACTACTGTGAATCAAATTTTGTGTATCCACATTCGTTTACCCTAATAGTCATCAATTTGTTCAAGTTTCAGATCAGATGCTCCCTGAGTTTTTGATGAGGGACTAGTAAGTATTCCTGGTTTATCCAGCGATGCGTCCTTTCAAAACAAACACAATGGGAAGGACACATCAGGGTGAGGTGAACGGACATATCAAACCATTGGAAATGAATCATTTGCACTCTCCTCGCTCTTCCATGTACCACTGGCTATCTGATCTGAAACTGCTTCCGGCAGTTTATCATCAGATAATCGGTGCAGTCACCAGCGAGTAAGTTCTCTCTTGAATGTGAATTTTAACTCACGAACTTTCCCAAGAACGTTTTATTCATAATGGTTTTACTATCATTAGAATTGATTATCGTATGGTAATACGAAATTAATTGGCCACTACTGCCCCAATTTGTCCGTTATTCGAGATCGTAGAAGTGTGTGGTAGTGTCTCAATGGGAAGTTGGTTTTCCCGCCGAATTTAACTAAGTGGACTTTGCTGTTTGGTAAGTTTATTGACCATTCCAAATTGTTTTCCACCACAGCGCGCCTTGTTTGCCGTTGCCACTCCACGTTAGAGAACATCACGTGTAGGTCAACACCTGTTCAAGGGACGAGACACGTGGAAACACACTGGTAGACTAAGTAAAGTAGTTATTTCTCGTCCTCAGTTGATTGATTGGAAATGTGGAAGAACACCGCAGCGATCCAACCAAGTGGACGTTCTTTTTGTCCTTTTACTGGGCTGGAATGCTTGAAGAGATGTCTGTGCAGTTAGATTACGTACACCGTACGTTGCTGGTTCATTTCCCCCTCAAAACAGTCACTTATTATTCAGTTTACACAGTCGTGCTTTGTCTGTAGTGTTAGCTCGACAGTGATCAGTGGAATTAACTTTACCGTATTTCGTTGTGCAATGCTGTTTCCGTTGCAATTGAGTGACCAGATTGTTACTTGCTGGATTTTTTATTGGGGTCTAAGGATCAACCGACATATCCACTGTCCTAGCGAATATATTAAACTTTTGAAGCAAACAGCGCTGTACGATTGCAAACTGTTTTTAGTCTTGGTTATACATTTTTATGATTCACACATGTGCAGAGCGATCCACGAAACAATAATCTTTATAAAAAGAAAAATGTCCATTTCTGCTTGTGGGTACAATACTAACAGGGTCGCCCAAGCCAAAGCAGATGACGTTTCTCGGGGAATTCACAACCAGAGCCCTCGGTTAGCCAAATGTTTATTCAATCTTCGTTATACTTGGGTGGTGGTGGCGCAGTGGTTTAGTCGCTGTCACTGGCGTGCTATGATCCGAGGTTCGAGCCCTACCACCGCCATTCACCTTTGATGGTAGGCAGCTTTGTTGTCGTCCGGTTTAGTACCACGCCTAACCTATCGGGGCCTTATGTGGTTCGCCACTCCAAGTCCCCGGGGATAAGTTTACCAGTTTCCATGACGGAGCCGCACCTCTAAAGATTGGTGTTGAATATATATGTCTTCGTGACTATGGGGTTCGCTCCGTCTGCTGTTCATCACACAAATGTGTGTATTAAAAAAAAAACAAGCGGAATCCACGGACCGATTGTCACTTTTGGTGTTCCACTACCGTTTTCGATCGTGTTTTGAACTGTCCCCCAGATATCTATGAATTATACACAGGCCTGTGACACTAATTAGTGTTCCTAGCACCAGTTAGCCTTTTTATTCGATGATTCATCCCTATCCATGGCAGAATCAATGCTGAGGCAACAGAGAAATGTCTCATTGAAACACTTGTAAAGGTCTCAGCTTCTCACAGCTTGGTTTACAAAGACATGGTCGCTATCCATTGGGGAGCAGCTACTCGGACTCATATATGAAAGCTAAGAGCTGGGTGAAGAACAACTTACTTTACTTTACTTTACTGCGGCCGGCTCCTTCGAAAGGATAAGCCGGCCCCAGACATGATTATAATCAAGATCATGGAGTTCCTTGGGAGTTTGGTACGAGAGACGTCCCCAGAGTCATTCGGCCTTTTTATTTTGAAGGCGCACCTCTAGCCTTTGCACAACCAAGTGCGAACTACAAGGCAGCAGAAAGTAATCCCTCGCCCCGGAAGTGAGAGGGTCAATGAATTTAGTTTTAAAAGGCCAGTCACATCGACCTTGGTCACGACACCGTCATTGGGCTTATGCGGCTTTTAAACAGGGGCCAGGTGACCAGCCTGAAACCCCTCCACACCCCGGCAGTGCCACCACTGTTTGTTCACGACTGCTTATTTGTTGCGGTATACCACAAGTTATTCACAGCTAACCTTCTTCTGTGAAGGTATCCCCCTATCTACAAGCCGGGGACACGCCTGGTAGCATTCCACTCTGCTTAACCCGAGGGTATCCAGGTGAAGCACAAAGTGGAAAGGATACCTTAAAAAGAGGCGACGGTCATCTAGTGGGAGATGCCACTTTTCTATGTCACCCCACGTATCCCACCTACCCTACTTATTCTGTTGCGCACGTACTCTGTGTTGTTTATGGTAACTCAAGTTCTTTTGTGCTAAATTTTTCACTTCGTTAACTAACTAGCTTCCAGAGAATATGTTAGATGCACACAAATCCAAAGTTTTGAGGCATCTTTTTATTATTTCCAAAAACTACCATTTCTATTATTTTCACTCCTAGTTGCGGTTTGGATAGTTCGTTAATTTACGAAGTATTCCTGACCTCCGGACTCAGTCAACCCATTCTTCACCACATCTGGTCTGCTACCAGTCAGTCCCATCCGGGTTGGTTCACACCGGCTGAATTGGTCTCAGCCCTTGCTCTCATCGGTCTGGCTCAGGCTGAACAACTTAATCAACAAAGCACCAATCTGGAAACAGTTCTACGCACCTTAACCCTAAGAAGACTCCATACACTTCCTAATCCACCTACACCATATGTGCGAATCCCTGCTAGTCGACTACTGACTGATGTGCACTGCCCAACACAACCGCCCACTCTCCGCTCCTCACTCAATTCACCAAATCATCAATCCACTTCCTCGAATGCATTTAAACACCCGTGGCCGTCCAATGCAACAACAAACGGCACAACAGCTTCGTTCACAGCAAGCTTGAATCTGTTCGAAACCGTGCCAAACACCACCCCGTGTGATCAGGGGGAGGATGATTGGGCGGAATTCACCTCGTGCAAAAATCCGGTAATTTCATCTTTACAGTTGTCTCTGTGCACATGCGGTCTGATTTTTCGTCTATTTTCCGTTTCGTATGAATAAATTTTACCGGATGTTACTCATATTTTGGATGATTTGGTCGCTTGGTTAAATGCGTTCTCATCCGGGAACCGAAAGGAACATGAGGATAGAGACAGAATGGGATATGTATGGAAAATCTGTTCTGGTAGACATAATCATAGGTTTGTGACGCCGAGTGGCTACGGCCTCAGCAAACTGTAACAACCGCTCAGTTTTCTGTTGGTTTAACACTAGGAATGCTTGTTTTTGATTGATGCACAGTTGGTAACCCAATATATGGCGGGCAATAGGGCTGGAGGGAATCTTCCGAGTGGCTAAGCCTCTCTCAGTTCCTCTGACATACTTACTACCGCAAGTGCATTGAAACAGCTAAATACACGAGGAGGTACCTTGAATTGTTGCCGGTCTAAGAACTGGCGTGCTTTGGATCTCATGTTTCAAGGCTCGAACGCGGCCATCACCACCCAACTTTGATGCTAGGCAGCCTTGCTTTCGTCGGGTTCAGTACCACGCCTAACCTAGCGGGGCCTTATGCGGTTTGCCACTTGAATTCCTGAGGCTTAGTCTGCCTGTTTCCATCACCGAACAGCAGGTCTTCGTGACATTGGGATCCACTCCGCCTGCTGTTCATCGCACGTGTTTAAAAAAGACGAATGCGGCATGCTGGTAACTACACAGGTTGTTAACAGGGAGTTAGTCAGCAAACCTCAAGTAGCAGTCAGAATGCTTTTGACAAATTACTCTCACTCGATCATAGAGGTGAATCCGGATCACACACGACACTACACTTTAGTGTATTGCATTTTGTTTTGATTAATCTTACTAATGTTATTATTATCAGTATCATTAATAACATTACGTAGTATTATTTTGGTGGGTAGGAAATACTGCTCGCAATGAGTGGTGCAAACACCGATTGTTTCACACAAAATGCAGTCGTTTTCTGAATACATCGAATAACCTGTGAATGTATTCGCACAATAAAAAACAGATGCATTCGTATCTTGTAATCAGTGCACCCGTCGAATGCTAATTGTGTCAACATCTGACGATATTTTATGTCTCCTGTAGGCATTACATCTTTGCTTCCTTCGTTTCTGGACTGGTTACCTGATGTTTTAGATCTTCAATCTAGAATCCTCTACCTATCCATATAGCTAATTTTCCATGCCTCCTCTGCCTTTTTCGTTAACATTCTCGCTGATCTTTTAAAAATTCGCTAAAAAACGGTACGGCTGACAACTTGCTAAAAAACGGCCTCCATTATTGAGGGTTTGGGTTGTGCTAAAAGGCTGTCGACTTCGCGCGCATGACTTGACCCGCGTACTTTGTTTTGTCTGCACAAAATCACACGGAGTTAAAACAGTCTGGATATTATATTTCCCGAACAAGCCGCATAACATCCGGTCGCAATGACCAACCACCTATGTACGTCACAGATATTAGAGTTGCCTTTTACTCGTCATTCAAAGCGGTCAGAATCAGTCAATTGTGGTCTCCGCTCCATCAGTGATGTGCATACATGCATGCCAATCACAGACTCTCACGAATACTGGTTTGTTTTTCTAGTCTATTCCGGGTTCGTCTTTCCTCAGTCTCACGACTAGCTAACTGAGCGAACATGTATAGTCTATCTAGGTCATGGAACGAAAAGTATAATATCTGATTCCATCTTCAAATGGGTACCCAAGACTTTAGGGCACGGCATACTTCGCGATAGCCCACACCAACGAAGGGGGTTTTCTTTGGGAACCCTAACCAGAGCCTTTGACTCAAAAGTCTGATCCGCAAGGCAGCGGGAATTTGTGGGCTTTTCTTTGGGAACCCTAACCGGAGCCTTTGACACAAAAGTCTGACCCACAAGGCAGTGGGGCGTAAATCCAACGCGGGAACGT